AACTCACAGAGATCCGCCTGCCTCTGCCTCCCGAGTGCTGGGATTAAAGGCGTGCGCCACCACCGCCCGGCTTATCATGGAAATTTTTGAGCATGGCTAAAATTGTGTGTTATTTTTCCTAAAATACCAACTACTGAGCTAGGGAGATGACTTAGTTCTTAGTTTTCTTGCCCTTTAAACATGAAGGGCATGAGTTTAGTACCCACGTTATAAGAAGACAAAACACGGGGTTGAGTGGCATCTGAAATTCCAGTTTTGGGGAAGAACGGGATCCCCGGAACTTCTTTACATCTGGTCCAGCATTAGGCTGAACTTCAAGATTAATGAGAGACCCTGCCTCAAGAAAGAAGTCCCCTAACCCAGACCTCTGGCTTCCACACTGCACACAAGGAAAACATGATTACATTAAGATAACGTATATTTATTACACCCCTTTGCAACCATTCATATTGCCACTCATAAGTTTCCTGGTAAAAGTAGAAAACTAACAGTGTTTGTTTATTGACATGCCCTCAGCTTAGTGTCAGTGCCTGGACTATTTCTGTAGGACAAGTGGTGTGGCTCGTGGTAATGAGACAGCAGAAAAGCAAGCGTGACTTTGCATGTCTACCAGCTTTCTTGACTATAACCTCAGGAACTTACTGTCCTGTTCCCTCTGACCCACATGTAATCTGTGTTCAGCAAGGCCTTCAAGCTTGATGATCTCTTTTCCAGGTGTTGTCGATCTACCTGAGGAAAATCGGGAAGCAGCTTACAATGCCATTACTCTACCTGAAGAATTTCATGATTTTGATCAGCCACTGCCAGACTTAGAGTATGTCTCTCTGTGTCTCCTCCTAAGTCCCCTCCTCTTCCTAATTCCTCACCTTTTAAAATGTTAGCGGATTGCTGACTTCCAGTTGTATTTGATGCTTTAGTGTTTGATACTGAGTTACGAGCCAATTAAAGCAAATATACTTACTTAAGAGTGTATTGTTCTTAATTATAAGATGCACAGTTTAGGCAAAGTTCTCTGGGTAATTGTGTGTTTGTCAACATCTAACATAGCTACAATTTGAGAATCCTGATGGACTTAGGCAAAGCTTATGTGTTTTTGGTTTGGTTTGGTTTTTCGAGACAGGGTTTCTCTGTGTAGGTTTGCACCTTACCTGGAACTTGCTCTGTAATCCAGGTTGGCCTCAAACTTACAGAGATCCACCTGCCTCTGCCTCCCAGTCGTGAGTGCTGGGATTAAAGGCGCGTGTCACCATGCCCAGTACAAGAAATACTAGTGATTCTTAATCTATCCAGTCAGCATTGAAATGTCCCCGTTGTCTCAGCACCTTCCCTCTAGGTTTTAGATGTAGATGTTTTTCTTTTTGGTTTGAGGCTACATGAAGTCTGCAGACTGCATTTGGTAGATATGTCTAATAAACATCGGTCCTTTAGGGTTCCAGCTTCGTATCTATTTTTTTTCCTTTGTCATTTATTCATCATTTGTTTTCTAAATTTGCCGTGGTGTTCTCATCAATGATTAACATGTACTTTTAAATTATACAAGAGGTGGTTATTTGTTAGTAGATAAACACATTTCAGAAACACAAGGAAGTTTAGAGTTCATACAGTTCCCCTAAGGTTCAGGACTGATACTTAACGTAATTCATCATTTTTAAGTTTTTGCTCTACAGTAAATACCTCATTGCCTTAGGTAGTGATTTTAATATATTTTGCTAACCTATCATTAATGACTAAATTTTTAAATACAAATTAACGTTCAAATCATATTTGGATTATATTGAGATTTGTTGACTAAAGCATTAGACTTCTCAGAGTTGATAGGGTATATAGAGAAAATTGGGATACTTTGTGAAACTTGATAATGTGTATTTGAACTTTTTTTAAAGTGACATCGATGTCGCCCAGCAGTTCAGCCTGAACCAGAGCAGAGTGGAAGAGATAACCATGAGAGAAGAAGTTGGGAACATTAGTATCCTACAGGAAAATGATTTCGGTAATTGCTAGTCGTTAGTTCGATTTTAATTATATTGTTACATTGCCAGGAGTTACAAAGGATAGTGGGCTTAAACTTATTTCCCTGTGGACAGAAAACCTTACTGTCTCTAACTCGTGTCCATCAACAACTTGCCTTTCTACTGCGTGTGAGGCACCATGTCCATCGATGTAGCAGAGTTGGGGGTTGGCTACTCTTGTTCCCCATGCAGTGAGAGAGCCTGTACTCCAAGTGTGGAACGTCCAAGCGCTATAGTGATGCTCACTTTGGAACAGTTAATGCATTACTGTGCTCATTACTCAAAGGCTTAGGTGGTCAGATTGGCAGGAAGTCACGTCCTTTGCTGGATGGCAGCACTTCACATCAAAGGTGACGTCGGTGTTAGTTGTGCATGTTCAGTTTACCTTCTACAAGTCCTGATAACCTAAATTTAGATGCAAGTCTGAATTTTATAGACATTCCCCAGGGGTACAGCGTTTAAACCAGATATTTTAATATTTACCACTAAATAAGACTTCAGTAAGCAATGTAACACCACAACTGTAATAAACCATCAGCTTTTTAACAGCAGCATTTCTGGCTTTTCTCAACTAATGGCGTATTTGGTGTGTGTAGGTGACTTTGGGATGGATGACCGTGAAATAATGAGAGAAGGCAGTGCTTTTGAGGATGACGACATGCTGGTCAGCACCAGTGCTTCTAACCTCCTCTTGGAGCCCGAGCAGAGCACCAGCAATCTCAACGAGAAAATCAACCATCTAGAATATGAAGACCAGTACAAAGATGATAATTTTGGAGAAGGAAATGATGGTGGTATATTAGGTGGGCTGCGGTTTCTTTCTTTGGTTCTGTTTCAGAATAATCACCAACTCTGAGTCCTAAGCAGCTATCTAGAGACAAATGGGTAAACTGGGATTAGTTGTCTCATAAAGCTTTCTAGAAAACTAGCCAGAAAATATTTAGCTTTGTATATATGCTTTTGTCCCCAGAGTTCTGAAGTCCACTGGTTGATCAAGCTATTGTGTTGTTTGATATCTAATAAGTAGATAGTTTGTGGATATATGAACTAGAAATAAAGGTGGTGGACAGGCCGGGTGGTGGTGGCACACACCTTTAATCCCAGCACTCAGGAGGCAGAGCCAGGTGGATCTCTGTGAGTTCGAGGCCAGCATGGTCTACAGAGCAACAAGATCCAGGACAGGCACCAAAACTACTCAGAGAAACCCTGTCTCAAAAAAAAAGTGGTGGACAGAAATTTTTTCAAATACTAAGTGTTTTGTGCCTTTATAAACTATCTTGAGAGAAACAGATACAAATTGAATACAGTTTAAATTTAATCCCCTTAAGCCTAGTAGTTTTTTCCCTGGATTAGTTATTGTGGTTTCAGCATTTCTCAGATTTTAACAGTTTTCTATTTTTCTTCTATTCTATTTCAGATGACAAACTTATAAGTAATAATGATGGTGGCATCTTTGACGATCCCCCTGCCTTGTCTGAGGCAGGGGTCATGTTGCCAGAGCAGCCTGCACACGATGATATGGATGAAGATGACAACGTGTCCAGTGAGCATTTTATGTTTCAGGATTCTTGGGGTGGTGGCGAAGCAACAAAAGACACGTCACAAAGCAGATGCTAGCACACGTCTTCCTCTTAGTGAATTGTGAATGCCCTTGACTGGCTTGGTTAGGACTGGTGGCTAGTTCTTGTGTTTTCAGTGTTGGTAACTGTTCTAGTCTGCTCTTTGTACATGGAGTTGAGCTCTGCAAGGGCTGCCTGGAAAACACTCACGTGGTTTTCTTAAAACCCATGGGGTTTTGTTACACTTCCTAAACAGGATTCCCTTTTCCATTTGTAGGGTGTGCATGTTAAACCTAAGTCTTTCATGACCATGTTGCTTTTACAGTGGGCGGGCCTGATAGCCCTGATTCAGTGGATCCTGTTGAACCAATGCCAACTATGACTGACCAGACAACACTTGTCCCAAATGAGGAAGAGGCTTTTGCATTGGAGCCCATTGATATAACTGGTGAGTGAATCCTTGAGATTCCACAGTGTGTAGAACGGAAGGTCCTAGGTGCTGTCTTCCTCTGCTGCATCTTGCATGTTGGTCTGTCTCGGTCTTCACTCTGTCCAGTATATTTGATGTCTTGTGGTAGACCTGTACAGTGAGCTGCAAGGTGTGAGATTACAGAACAGCTTTTTTTGTTACTGTGTATTTTAGTCCTTGGGGGGTTCTCACATACTAACTATCATCAGTAATTTTGGGTCACTGAGATGGCTCAGTTGGGTAAAGAGGCTTGCACCAGGCCTGAGGACCTGAGTTCATTGAATCCCCGTGACCTGCATGGTCAATAGAGAACCGGCACCCCCAGATTGTCCTCTGACCTGCACGTGTCTTGTGCTCCTGCACACAAACACACACCAAGAAAAGACCAAATACCGTTATTAAAAAGTGTGTTTCTAGTAAGAATGTGATGACTGGGTTTTCTGTGGAGAATAATCTAGTAATTGAGAATGATATTTCACTTTGGGGGAAGAGAGGCAACTCTAGGTGGAGGACAGGTGTGGAGAGGCCCACAACATAGCATCTTTTTGTTTTTCTCAACTTGAGTGCTTTGTTATAAAACACGGGCAATAAAGTGTGACTGAGATCGAATTTCATTCCAGAAGTTTCTGTGAAGAGGCAGGTAATACACTGCCTTCTTTCCAAAGTGGTGTGGACTAGACACCAATAGGTGAGGGGGGTCATGATGGTGTTTCCAGGCCCTCTGGCTGGCCTTGGGCTTCTTCCCCTTTGTCGGTCAGCTCTATATTGCTGCAGTTTTTGAATCATAACTTACGCAACAAAAGCCAAATAAATACAGCCCAAAAAGGTACTAAACCATTTCTTGGCACCTCTGACTACTCTGTAGACACTGAACATTTTAGAGCTGTTATAAGTAGTTGGCCTGTTTCAAACAAAATAAAAATTAAGCAATCTGAAGTTAGGTTTCTTCTCATAGTCACATTTAAAAATGTTAGACCTAGCAGCGGGCGATGGTGGCGCACGCCTTTAATCTTAGCACTTGGGAGACAGAGGCAGGCGGATCTATTGAGTTCAAGGCCAGCCTGGTCTATAGAGAGTGATTCCAGGACAGCCAAGGTGCACAGAAACCCAGTCTGGAGGGGGAAAAAAAGGACTAGGCATGCTGACATATATCTTTAATCCCAGCACCAGGGAGGCAAAAGCAGGTAGGTGGATCTCTCTGAATTTGAGACTAGACTGGTCTATATATCGCTTCCCTGCCAGTCAAGGCTATATAGTGAGACCTGGTCTCCAAAACAAAAAAAGAAAAGAATGTCAGAAGTTGCCCAGTATATACCAAATGGTCAGCCCTGAAAACATGCGTACATACAAGTAGCATTATCTGGACTGAGCAGACTATATTTATGTGTACATGCACACGTATGTTCAGTAACAATTAAAAAGGGGTCATGAATTTAAAAGAAAGGGGGGAACACATGGGGAGGGTGGAAAGGGAAATAGTATAATTATATTCTCAGAAAGCAAAGACTGTTTAAAAAATAAGCATGATTTCAAAAAAAAAGAATGTTAGAACTTAGGACTTTGGTTCACGTCGGACAGGTGTGGTATGTGGGCTGTTCAGAGTAAAATTATATGGGCTTCAAGGTTTTGACTCTGAGATTATTTTAGATAATCTTAGATATATCAATTAAGACTCTTAGATATATCAGTTAAGACATACTGTCTTCATGAGGACATGCTCCTAGGATCTGTGTCTAGAAAGGCAGAAGATAATGACCAGGGCAGGATGAGGGGGAGAATGGGCCAGGCTGGCCTCTCAGGAAAATGACTTTACATTCTTTTGTTCTAGTCAAAGAAACAAAAGCCAAGAGGAAGAGGAAACTGATTGTTGACAGTGTCAAAGAATTGGATAGTAAGACAATTAGAGCCCAACTTAGTGATTATTCGGATATTGTGACAACATTGGACCTGGCCCCGCCCACCAAGAAGCTGATGATGTGGAAAGAGACCGGGGGAGTGGAAAAGCTTTTCTCCTTGCCAGCCCAGCCTTTGTGGAATAACAGACTACTGAAGGTAGTGCCTCTGGCGGGGCGGCTTCTCTTGTGTGCAGTTGACTTCTAAACCTGTACTTTACCTTCTGACCAGATACTTCTCTTTCTTCCCTTACATCACCGTGTGCTGAGTTCAGCCCTGCCCGAGTGTTTCTGGGAAGGGTTCTTCCAGGTGCAGAATGCCATTATTAATAACAATGCATTCTCCTCAGCTCCCTGTGCTAAGTTGTGCTTAGTATACACTGTGTTTCAGATCGGCATGCTTTAGTTTTGTGGAAACTATGCCCCCCCTCCAAGAAAAATACCCAAACACATACTAATTAGAAGTTTTTATTTCATTAACCCATACTACTGGAGAATAAGTTTTTGTGGTGTCTGTTGGCTTGAAATGGTGCTGCTAGGCTCTGACTCTTGAAAGCTGAAATGTAGAGAAACAGTTGATTTTTCTCTGCAGTACTCTAAAGCAGCGAGGGTATGATGGGCTGGCTGTTCTTTATTACACAGTTGTCAAGAAGGCGGCCTGTAAAAAACGTTGACTCTCTGGAAGGAGGTATTTCTTCAGCACACAGCCACTGGTAATACACCCATGTTTGTGTAACTAGCTCCACACCCGTGCTCACATGTGCATCCCTGATTAAACTCACTGTGCTTGGCTCACTTTCAAAGACACTTGGAGTAGAAGGACTAGATTATGTACATGTGTTAAAATACCATAGTAAACCCATTTTCTTATAATGAATGTAGGCTACTAAAAATCTCAAAAAAATTAGTCTTTGATTCAATAGATTTGTTATTTCTAGGCAAGAATTTAAAATTTGGAGGAAAAACTTTGGCTAATACGCTTATTACATTGCTGTTTAAACTGTGAGGTGCTCTTCATTCATGAAATAGTTCCATATTTTACGTGCTTGTTAATAAGTAAGACTATATTATGTGGTAATTTGTAAAATTTCCCATAGTAGTTAAGCTATGTGAAGACAAGCACAATATAAAACTGCAGTTTTGTGACAGAGTATTCAATTTATCAATGAAAATAACTGCAGGTAAATATAAAACCTTGAAGCTTAATAATAGACACAGTTATTTTCAACTTTCTGAAATGACTGCAATTATAATTTTAACACTTATATTTCAAATAATTTTAAGATGGAATGAAGTGTGAGAATGGTAAGTAAAAATACTAAAATGTGCATATATTGATTACTGGTTATAAACTGTTAAAACATTCCTTAATGAAAATAGAAAATACAAAAGTTAGTCAGTCTTTAATTAGTGTGATTTTATAGTTGATAATGTTGCTTATTTTTGATAGCTCTTCACACGCTGTCTTACACCACTTGTACCAGAAGACCTTAGGAAAAGGAGGAAAGGAGGAGAAGCTGATAATTTGGATGAGTTCCTCAAGGAGTTTGAGAATCCAGAGGTTCCTAGAGAGGAACAGCAGCAACAGCAGCAGCAGCAACAACAACAGCAGCAGCAGCAGCGTGATGTCATCGGTCAGTTCTGCTGAGAGGCTTCCCAGATGAAGCGTGAAATGCCGTCAAGTTCACCTCTGTGCTGTCAAAGCAGCCATGGTGTAGCATGAAGGGGTGTGCTTGTTTGGGGTCATGGAGATACATGTATCTCCTCACCTTCCAGAAACTCGGCTTCGGGAAGCTGTAGGGCTTTGATAATTAAAGGGGTTGTCTGCAGAGGACTGGGAAGTGAACCACATTTAAGACTTCTCCCCAGCTGTTAGACTTGCATTGTTACAGACTGAGTAATCCTGGTGCGGTGCTCACTGGATTTTAAAAGCACATTGGGTTTTTTTGTTGTTGTTGTTGTTGTTTTTGGTTTTTCGAGACAGGGTTTCTCTGTGTAGCTTTGCACTTTTCCTGGATCTCACTTGGTAACCCAGGCTGGCCTTGAACTCACAGAGATTCGCCTGGCTCTGCCTCCCGAGTGCTGGGATTAAAGGCGTGCGCCACCACCGCCCGGCCAAGCACATTGTTTGAATGCTGTTGAAAGCCAAATTCTTTTCTTGTGATAATTGCAGATGAGCCCATTTTGGAGGAGCCAAGCCGCCTCCAGGAGTCAGTGATGGAGACCAGCAGAACAAACCTAGATGAATCTGCCATGCCCCCACCGCCCACTCAGGGAGTTAAGCGAAAAGCTGAACAGATTGACCCAGAGCCTGTGATACCTGTAAGTAAAGGAAACATTGGGGGATGGTCATGCAGTTAGTTCCAAGTGGCATTTTTAGGAGTCTTTGATTTAGGAGTGTCTTGGTTTAGGCAAAGAATGGCAAGGAATGGATCCAGAAGACTAGCAATAGAATTTAGGAGCACAGTATTTTTATCGTATGTGGGAAAGGATGTTAATGAACTTAGCAGAGATGTCTTGATTCTTTGTGAATAGTCTTGCTTCAGAATGGTTCAAAATAACCTTAGTCAGTGTGAGGTCAGTGGGGTCTAAACCTGTACTGGTTTATTTGAAAATTCTACATGTCTCCAATACTGGGCAAGTTTTAAAATAATTGGTATATTCTTCAGTGAAAAACAGTGGCTAAGTGGCTGCTTCATTCAGTACTTCCCCGTTTGAAGTCTGTGGGATAAATCAGGAAAGCAGGCCTTTAGTAACATTGGGCTGTTCCAGCCCTCATCATAAACTGCTGACAGACAGCACAGCTTGTTGCTAGCCTTGAGAACTTTCTCTGTGCCCTGTGGTGGAAAGGACTTGTCAGTAACAGCCCTTTTCTCCTTGAGCACAGAAGCTTGAACAGGTCACAGATCAGTGACTTCTGTCCTGGTAGTTTCTTAAAGACTTTTTTTAATGTTCTCAGATATTTATATTAACCTCAAAATGAAATAGCACAGGTGCCCTTTTCCATGTTACCTGCTGCTGAGTCCAGAGCTCTTTCTGAAAGCACAGGATGGATAGTAAGTTACTGTAAAGTAGTTGACCTGATCCTGCGTTTTAAAGACTACCATTAAAACCTAGATCTTGAATCACCGCCTTTTATCATTTAAGCCTCAGCGGGTAGAGCAGATGGAAATACCACCAGTAGAGCTTCCTCCGGAAGAGCCTCCAAATATCTGTCAGCTGATACCAGAGTTAGAGCTTCTGCCAGAGAAGGAGAAGGAGAAAGAGAAAGAAAAGGAAGAGGAAGAAGAGGAGGAGGTACGAAAACCGAAGATCTACAATGAGGAAATTCCATTCCCAGTTTAAGCCAAGCTAATTAATGTTGGGCATCAGAGTGATGAAAACCGATAGAATCAAAATTGAACTAAATTCTTAGGGCCATGAATCACTGAGTACATCACATTTTATGCTGTGTTGTAATTCCCATGTTCCCCTCAAGAGGAAAGATGGGACTGCCCTTGCAGATTGTTGTTAGATTTCTGAATTGCTTCTGGTTGCTTTTCATTATCTTATGGTCAATATTCAATTCTTACTACTATTAAAGCCAGCCTCTGGTCTAACCTTCCACCTGTGGCCCAGAAATCAAATAGCCAGACATACTTCATTTGCCTGAGCTATGTGTAATTGAAAGAAACATTGTACTTAATGTGGTTTGAGTCCTGGCACAAGGTTCTTAACCATGGCCTGTACTAGGTAGACCACATCCATGTAGACCAATACAGAGATATTATATTCAAATGTTTGCTTGCAAGTACTTGTCTTTGTGATCAGGAAGATAAATTTCGAAGTTCGTAGTAGATGGCAAATGATTTTGAAGCAGCAGGATTACAGTTTTCTGTAGATGAGTCGGACAATGTTAACCAAAAGCTTTCCAGGTACAGAGAAATGCTGCTCTCATTTGAGCAGAGCCGTTTTTTCAACTTGTGGTGTTCATTTATTCAGGATGAAGATGCGTCAGGGGGTGACCAGGATCAAGAAGAAAGGAGGTGGAACAAAAGGACTCAGCAGATGCTTCATGGCCTTCAGGTATGCCGGCACAGTCGCCAGGGAGTCCTCTCCCAGGCAGCAGCCCTACTAGCTGGAGCCTCGAGGAGGCACACCTTTGCAAGTGTCATTGGGGGGTGCACTGTGTTCAGGCATGAATTGTAGAGCCGGGAGTAAACCTAGGAAGCATCTAGGGTACTTAGCCAGGGTTATCCTGAAAAGCAGATCTGTGATGCAGTGATGGAGAGAACTCCTGTGTGCATTTGTGTTTTCTTATTTCCATTGAGCACGTTAGTGTGCTAAGTCATAGAGTGTCAGTTAGCAGGCCAGACACAGATGAGGCTTGAGCAAAATGAAATTCCTAGCAAGTCTTTGAAGGTTCCCTACAGTGGATTTGAAGGAATGGGGACTTAGAGTTTGGGGGGTTGAAGTGGGACTGATTTGATTTTCTGTTTTCGCTGTAAATTCACTAAGTGCTTATTTTTGCTGTCTCACATCTATATTGAAGCAACTTTGCTTACTTCTTGAACTTAATTTTTTTTTTTTTTTTTTTTTTGGTCTTTAGATATGTTGTAATATGTTATGGCCCTTTACCTTATTGAATAACATGAGAATCACTCGTGTGTAACTCAGTATGAATGTCCAGTTCCAGCCCCAACCAAATGTAGTTTACTTTTACTAAAACAAAAATTGTATCATCCAATTGCTCCTTTATTGTGTGAGTTCCTTGAATTCATCTGTTTTGCTTTGTTTTATTTCAGCGAGCTCTTGCTAAAACTGGGGCTGAGTCTATCAGTTTGCTTGAGCTGTGTCGAAACACAAACAGAAAGCAGGCTGCAGCGAAGTTCTACAGCTTTTTGGTTCTTAAAAAGCAGCAAGCCATCGAGCTCACACAGGAAGAGCCATACAGTGACATCATTGCAACCCCTGGACCAAGGTTCCATATTATCTGAGGAGCTAGAAGCTTAGAGCTAGTGTTTACTCACTAGTACATACAAATTGCCCCCGTGTGTAGGGCACCAAAACCCTTTAAGAAAGTTTTTAGATTTCTGTTTGTACAAAATCTTTGCCTTTTCTTTCTTCATTTTTCCCCCCAGTGTTTGTAATTTGTCCACCATCTTTTAAGGGAAACTGCTTATTTGGGTTGGGTTTGTATTCCTGGAGAAAACATTACCCCAAGAACCCAGAAGATTCATAACAGTTCAAAGAACAGATGTGTGCAATATTGGTGCATGTAATAATATGGAGTAACAGTCAAAAGTCCCCATTTTTATGTTAGGTTTCCATTACTGTGTTGGAAGGAAAACCTGCCTAGGAAAATGCCTGACACTTTAAGAGCTATGGTTTGAGTCCCTTGACAGGAAGAGAAAATGTCTTCCCATCAGTGACACCAGCAGTCTGGTTAACCACTGTACCTAGGGATAGCACATGAAGCATCGCAGTTGTCTTCTTGATCATGTTTTAAAGTAATTCCATAATGAGCAAGAATTTGTGAATTGTGTTGTGACTGATCCTCTTGGACTGTTCTGAAATCATTCCGTGTGAGTCTTAGGAACTCTGACATTAGTGCAGCTCAGAAGGATGAGATGAGAGACTTCTACAGTGGCGTGACTCCAGAGCTGCTGATCACTTTCTCAAAGATGCTTGAGTATGTTTGCTTGAGTAATGAGATCATGAAAAGAGAAACTTCCCCCTGCCTGCTGAAGGGCAGACTCTTGAGAAACTACACCAGATTGACTTTGCTCTAAGCAAACAGTGCTGTAAAAACTAATGGCTTCTCTGATATTTATTATAATGTTAGTACTGATCTCTTTCCAATGCTGCACACTCCTGTATTTGAAACTTATTTTAATAGCTTTGCAACTGTAATCCTGTATCAGTTTCCTATAATTTAAATGGAGAACATCCAGATAAAGGCTTTATTATTAACAGATCCAGATAGCACCAGAAATTATGTGACTATATGAAAATCAAAATATGTCTTCACTTTGTAGGGCAAATTATGTTGAAAGTTCTAGCTTAAGTGTTGGCACTTTTATGGGGGGGAAATCAATTTTAAAACTACGACTTCCGTGTATACCCAGTAATTTAAAATTATGTGAAATATTTTAAATTTGTGAACTCGTAATTACTATTTTAATGATTCAGTTTCTTGAGTAATTGTATAAAATTGCTCTTGCAGTTTTATTTTCAATACAACGTGCCTGTAAACCATGGATATCCCCTTTGTAAAAAGACATTGTAGATAATCGAATGCTTGATTATAGAAAGGTCATTAGTTTCTTGTTACACATTTTGTTAGTCTGGTTTTTGTCGCTTATTGGGTTTAATATTGTTCTTGAAAATAGTTGATGCTATGTTATGTATAACTTTTCTAATAAAAATTGTGTTTCAAGCTGTACATTTTGGAGTATATTCAGTTGGTGGAGAAATGTTGACTGAAAAAGTTAACACGGCCAAATATTTAATTTGCCTTACCTAGAATAATCTGTGCTAATTAGGTGAGTTTTTTTTTTTAAGTTCAGTAGCCACATGAATAATAGTGACCATTATCTGACAACTTGTGTTGAAAGGCTGCGCTGTCTTAAGGTCATTCTAAACCTAGACAAGGTGTTTGGAGTCCACACACACAACAAGTTACTCTGCCTTCCTAGAGTTTACATCCTGACGGGAGGCAAGTAATGGTACGCTTAAGTCACAGGTCCAGAATAGTAGGGTGGGCTGCAGTGTTAGAGCAGGGAGGGCCGAATAAGCCTCTTGGAGAAGGTGAGTGTCCAAGTGTAGAGAAAGAGACCAATGGAGCTGGAACTGTAAAGGTGGAGCAGAAGCTGGGAAGTTCAGATTGTCTGTGGTTACACTTTACCTTGCTGTCCACTTCGGTCACACCCAGTGAACCTGAAAACAGACTGGCTAGGTGGGCCTGCACCCTGCAAAGTGTTCCTCTGGCCTCTCGTTTCCTATCCAATGATAACTGAATAAATAGAAGAAGCTATAAAGCTTGTGGGTCTGCTGCACAATCTTGGGAGTAATATTGATGCTTCTGAAAGATGTTTTTACAGTGTAATAATTGAGAGTAATCCCTGGCATCATGCCACCATAGCCTGAATTTGAGAATGTGGCAACGAGAGACTTGATACTTGCAGTTAAAGTGGACCAGGATTTGAAACTTCACTGTGTGTGCCTTTTGGCATTAGTGTGTTCTTGGTTTTCTCAATTACAAAATTCAGGCTTGAACTCTTGAAATAAAGACTAGTGAAGTCTCTTAAACTAGGTATTCAATAAATGATAGCTTATGTGAAAATGTTTAAAACAAGGAACTCATGTTTTGAAATAGGCTGTCTTCAGGATGCTGGTAATGGTTAAGGAGACTGGGAAGACTCAAGTTACTACTGGGAATCCCTCCTTTGAGCATCTTGTCCTCCCTGTCTGCAGTGTGAACTGCTTACGTGAGCAGTAAAGGCTGCTTGCCTTTCAGATTTCAGCAGAGGGTCAATTCCTCAGGGGAGATGGTGCTAATCCACACCCTGTGCCGCACTAGGTCAGGCTTCCTGGTTGAATGCTCTTTAAGCCCCCAAAAAACAAGTGACATAAATAATTGGCAGTACTTGAAGCAGTTAGTTTTAAGATCTTTTCAAAATCTTCCCACCAGTTTGACTGTAATGCTAAATATATGTGAACTATCCCAAGCTCTCAGAATTCTCAGGGTTGGTCCTTTAGTCGGCTGGGATAGAATCCTGGCCCAAAGACAGGTTGACCATTCACACTGTGTAGAAATACATTAAGGGGCCAGGTGGTGATGGCTTCTCCAAAAACGTCTCTTGAAACTAGTTAGTTTTGTTTTTGAGGCTAACGTATGAAAGCTCTTGATAGAAATGTCAGACTTGGCCTGGATTTAAAGCCTGGCTCTATCTGTCACTGATCAGGCCCTGGGTGAACATCATCTCTCCAAACCTTTTTCTTCATCAATAAATTTCTATAGCAAGACATGCTCTATGGGATTTGTGGATGCCAATAGACATAACTACCTACAAAGCATTGGGAAGTACCAGCTACATTCCACTACTCCTTTTCTTGTTCATTCAACTTACAATGTCAAAAGTAAATGTTGTTCAAGTCCTATATGAATAATTTATTAAACTTGGTCTCCTCTAAAAACTGGAATCCATGTTCCTGACATTTATGAAGCAGTCCCTGGACATGATGGCCCCCAGGGCTTCACTAGGGACAGCCACACTAGACTAGCTCTTCACAAGCCACCTTCTGTATAGTCAACCAACCAGCAAGACAGAATAGGTAACTTTAAACCGGGGGGGGGGGGGGGCAGGAAGCCTGGGAGTGTTATGGGGTAGAGGATGCTGTTTCCACACATGAATGGATTTTGTAATAAAATCAAGAATTCTGGTATATTCACCATATTAACTGCTTTTCTGTCGGGAGCCCGTTTAAAATCCAGCCATTTTCAAGCATGGTTACAATTGGCTGTGGACATCCATCTGTGTAGTAGAACACCAAAACTTCATCCAATCTAGTGGCATCGGTGAATCTCTATAACTCGCCCCCACTCCACTCCCTGGTAACTTCTGTGAGATCCACTTGATTTCCAAAGAAATCCTTCCATTGATTTAGACCTGCTCTATTGTACTTAGTCCCTTCCAGGTGCGTTGGTACTGCCAGATGGTAGCATTTCATCTCTTGTTACGACAGTGTCCCTTCCTCCATCGGTGGACAGTTAGGTTGATTCCTAATTTTTGCTATTGTGAATTGAAACATTATTTTCAAGAACACATTGCCTGGCAGCATCTGCTCCTCCCTTTTGTGTTTTCCACTGCCCTTTCCTGTTGTTCTAAGTACATAGAATGTGGATGTTATTGTAGAACTTGTCCTTGAGCACACAATAGCCATTACCTTGAAGTCTGCATGAACCCTCTCAAAGTCAGACTTGGTGACATTCCCTCGTGAAAGCCAGGGGTGCATGAGGCGGCCTACAAGGTCCCTCTTCTCCCTGGAGATACGTGAACAGTTAATACTTGCTGGGACAGAAACTCAGTATTATGGCTTCCTGCAAGTGGCCTGTGCTCCTGCAAGCAATCCCAATTAACCTGATGCACCAAGCTAGACCCAGGTGGAATTGTTTTTGGATCTCTTGGTTTCCTATCAGATCTCAGGAAAAGTACAGCAGTGAGGCAGGCAGTGCTCATGTTGGCAGTAGGGCAGGAGTAGGGTGGGGGTCCAAAGAAGGAAAAGCTACTGAAATTTCATTTGTGAGTGCGGACAAGCCTTACTACATTTGGAAGGTTATCAAGAGAAGCCCAGGAAAAATGTGAGAGAAGGGGACCCTTATTACTATCACAAAATACCAGACAGAAGCTAGAGTGGAAAGGTTTGTTTTGTCATGTTTGGAGAGGCTCTAGCCCGTCGTGGTGGGCTAGGCTCAGCATCTAGAGCTGCTTGTACAGAACAGGAGGCAGCCTGCCTCAATGAGAAGTGAGTATAAGCTTCTGCCAGCCAGTCTCTTGTTTTTCAAAGATCGACAGCACCCCCCTCCCCAACAAACCTCACCAACCAGCAGGGGAGCAAGTGTATACACACAGGAGCCTGTGAGGGACACTTCAATTTCAAAACAGGGCACCTTCATCTGTTGGTAGAAATGTCAGTCTAGCCCCTATGCAAATGGCCTAAGTTCCACAGAAACCTGAAAATTGAACTTCAATATGATTCACGTATTCCACTACTGGAGGAACTGAAGTCAGTGTATTAAAACATGCCTGCAACAGCACATATATTCATAATAGCCAAAGATGGGAACAGTGTGCTAAGTGTCCATTGGCAGATAAATGGATAAAAGAGAAATATAGTCTGTGTATGTGATGGAATACTGAGCCACATAAAGGGTGAAATCTGGGGCTGGAGAGACTGCTTGGGGATTAGGAGTACAGGCACTCTTCCAAAGGACCAGGGTTCAATTCCCAGCACCCACAGGTCAGCTCACAACTTTCTGTAACTCCCATTCCAGAAGATCTGACACCTTCACACCAATGCACATAAAGTTAAACTATGTTTTTAAAAGGTGAAATCCTGTCACGTGAAGCAATGTGGGTGGACCCGAATGACATAAATTGGCACATACCTGAATGAGATCAACCCAGTCAATATTTAAACATGGAGTGGGAAGGGGGTTCATGAGCCCCCACCAATAACTGAAAAACAATGGGCAGTTGATGGCTCCTGGGGGAAGGAGAATCGGTTTTATTAAATGGTGTGGCTCCTGGTAGGTAGACCACCTTCCGGTGGATGGCTCCATACCCAGGACAGCACAAATTGGGATCAATGGGACATTAAGAAAGAACAGTGGGTATGAAGTTGGGGGCATATAAGAAGGTGGGGGAGGATTTGGGAGGAGTTGGGGACTGTATGCACATGATCAAAATATGTTGTATGAACTTTTCAAGATAGAAAAGTCAGACACAGGGAAACAAATGCATGTTCCCATATGTGGAAGCCCTAAGGTTGATCTCTAGAGAACCTCAGGTGTTGCAAGGTCTGGGGAAATCGGGATGGAGGAAGGCTTTGAGAGAGGATGGTTTCTGAGTACAGGAATGCATTTGGGTAGGAGGAATAATGCCTAACGTTCTGTAACACAGTGTGTTAACTATAGTTTACAGTAATTAGTGGGATATTTGAAATAAATAGAAAACAGGATCCTGAATGTTCTCAATTAAAATGCTGAGTCTTGAGGTGACATGCCAGTTACTCTGATCATTATGTGCTGTGTGCCTACACTACAATGTCATGCCATAATCAAGTTTATTTTTGGCAAATAAAGTGAACACTCCCAATTTTTAAACATGATTTATGATCACAATCAATGCCATGTAAGCCATACAGCTGCAGACAGACGTTATACCTTAGGTCTCACGATGTGTGTTTGTTTTGTTTGTGAGAGCGTTTCCAGGCTGACCTTAAACTCTGGGTCTTCCTGCTGCAGTCTCCCAAAGCGCTAGGCTTTCAGGAATGTGTACCATCGGACTCAGTGGCTTTGATGAGTAGTCTGGGAAAATAATTTTAACTAAAGCAAGACTGCCTGGCCTTTTTCCTCTGTCAGCTCCAAATGGCACAGAATGGCTGCCTTCAATTCTCCCATGGCCTTTATTTCATTCTCCAGAAGCAAAGGAAGAGTGGGTGGCCTGACCTTATTTATGCCAAAAGTTTATATAATGAGGGTATTTTTAATGAGCCTACCAAAGGCTGGACTTCAACAGTCATACATGCATATCGTGTATTTGCCTTTTTATTAAACACACACACACACACACACACACACACACACACACACACACACACACACACACACACACACCATGATCCTGTTAACTATTTATTATACAAACATTCTCAACCTAG